GGAGTTTCTAGCAATGTTTACATTTTCATGTTTTCCTACCATCCTTTATATCTTGGGGGGGTTATTCTGCAATTGAAACAATTGCATCATTTCGGGGACTTTGCTTATGGGAATAGCTCATATCCCCCCAAATCATTCATATTTTTCTTAGGTATATTTTGCGTGGGTTTTATTATTGTTAATTTTATTATTGTAATTACTAATACCTCATTAACGACTTCACAGGCAGCCCTCGCTGCGTCAATGTCTAAACTCAGTAGTTGCAGCCCCCGCTGCCTCTACCCATAACCTCTTAACTTCATGCAGCCCCCGCTGCATAACCATGGTGTAGCCGCAGCACTCGCTGCCTATACTTTCCAGTTGCAGTCATGCTGCAATCTGCCATTCCATACTAACATCATGCAGCTATGCTGCACCAACCAACATGTTTTCAGTCTTAGTCTAGTTTGTATTTTAGTTTAAAAACTGTAAGCCAGCTAGTTTACACCTGCTTTGTTCTACATTTTGGGGGTGGCACCAGGGACCATCTTATCAGTCTGTTATGCATTGTCTCACTTTTGTGTACAATGGTCTTGTGGTGTGCCCCCCTATTTGCCAAATAAATTATTGGTTCATGTACATGCTCTTGTGTTCGTGTCATAAATGGCTAAAAAGTGATATAATTGTCTTTTCAAGGAGTAAGCTGTGAGGAAGGAATGAAGGTAGAAGTGTGTGTTCTATATTTAGACTATGCTAATAATGTTGCTGCAGTCACAATGAAACCCTGTATTGTTCAATTTGCTATGAAAAAGACAAAACAGAAAAAGGTAGGTGATGTTGCTCAAAGTTAGCACAGATTTCAAATCCATGGTATCTTGAAAAATTACATTGTAATAATAATAAAAAAATAATCTTGAATGGCAGTTGATATTCTAAGTTCACAAAGATGAAAATGCACTGTTTGATTGAGTAGAACTTATCTGTATTCTTTCCATTTCAAATACCAATCACTTTTTCTATATTCTGTGTATTGTAACATGATAATTGATTGATGTAATTGTTTGACACTGATTATATTAAATGCTTGTATATTTACAGTTAGTGTGACTAACCTCAAATCAGCAACATTTGTAACTGAATATTAGCGTGGTGTTTTGAGTACCTGTACTGGTACAAAACAAATTTGTGGCCACAGCAAAAAGTTTACAGTATGACATATCACCATACAAAATTATTCCTATCAGAGTGTGCACTGCTTCACTATCATGTTTTATTTCACAACAGTACATAATTAATTTTGTCATGTAAACACTGAAATAGGTTGCAGAGATACAGAATGGAGAGGCTGTTGTAGAACTTGTCAAAAGTGATATTGTGGTTGTGTCTCTTAGTGATGGTAGACTTGCATTACTTCCTGGCAAAAAGGTAAGTACACTGTACATGTAGGTACTGTAAAATACTTAATTTTCGCTGAAAGAATGATTCAGTGAAAATAAAATCCAGTGAATATACTTTTTTCAGTGAAAATAAATTTCATACAAAACACCCAAAAAGTTTTTTCAGCTAAAATTAATTCCAGCTAAAATAAAGTATTTCACAGTAGGTCAGCTGAATTAGCAAGTCTGACATTTTAAAAAATTCAACAGAAACATTTATTTAGAACCTTTAATATAATACAAGTTTAGGGATTGAACTTTAGATTTGAGAGGACACTCATTTGCATGGACAGAATTGATTAAATACAAATGTACCTGTAACATAACATAGAGAATATCCAAGGGTAGCAAGGTCCTGTGAGTTATGTCAAGTAACTCTTATAGCTATGTACAGTGATATGTAAATCTCACACAGTGCAGTACATGCTTGGAAATGGTCAATTGTGTAACCAAAAATTAGCGTTCAATTTGCTGCATTTAAAAATGAAAAACGCACATACTACATGCTTCACGAACAAGCAAAGTCACTATCAAAAAATGATCTGAGATGAACATGGACCAGTATTTTCACAGACTCATTGATTTGCAATTTCTATAAATGTAAGTTTCTCTTGCAATTTTGTAAGCATATCGCAATTTGTGTTTTCATTGCATATCTCGCCCTTGCATATCACACCCGTGCATATCACACCCTTGCATATCGCGCCCTTGCATATCGCGCCCTTGCATATCGCACCCTTGCATATCACACCCTTGCATATCACACCCTAGCATATCACACCCTTGCATATCACACCCTTGCATATCACACCCTTGCATATCGCACCCTTGCATATCGCGCCCTTGCATATCGCGCCCTTGCATATCACACCCTTGCATATCACACCCTTGCATATCACACCCTTGCACATCACACCCTTGCACATCACACCCTTGCACATCACACCCTTGCACATCTCACCCTTGCACATCTCACCCTTGCACATCTCACCCTTGCACATCTCACCCTTGCACATCTCATCCTTATCACACCCTTGCATATCACCCTTGCATATCACTATCACACCCTTATCACACCCTTGCATATCACTATCACACCCTTGCATATCACACCCTTGCATATCACACCCTTGCATATCACATCCTTGCATATCACATCCTTATCACACCCTTGCATATCACCCTTGCGTATCACTATCACACCCTTGCATATCGCACCCTTGCATATCACATCCTTGCATATCGCACCCTTGCATATCGCACCCTTGCATATCACACCCTTGCATATCACACCCTTGCATATCACATCCTTGCATATCACATCCTTGCATATCACATCCTTATCACACCCTTGCATATCACACTCTTGCATATCGCGCCCTTGCATATCGCGCCCTTGCAT